CCTCCCCTTTGGTTTGGCAACTCCCCCCCCCCCCCACCCTGTGTATTCACAAAATGCTTGGCTGTCATTTGTGCCTACCTGGTGGGGTCCATGTATATCCCTGTCTAGATGACTGGCTCATAGTGGCTCCATCCAGAGAAGTCTCTTTACAAGCTACTGGCTTCATGTGTTGCTTACTTAATCAGCTCAGTCTTTATATTAATCCGACTACATCTTGCCTTTCTCCTACACAGTCGACCCACTTCATTGGAGCTTGATTTGATTTCTCTTCTGCAAGGGTCGTTCTGTCCTGAGGCAGAATATCCACTCTGTCCAAAGAGGTCACTTCCCTCATCAATGCTAGTTCAACAATCACTGCAACAATCCAGTGCATTCTTGGAGCCTCTCTGTTGTCCTCCATGCTCTCACCAAGCCTCCATTTGAGCCTATGGCCTTGACTGACAGACCCCTATGTGCCTCCTCTCCTGGAAAACCACCTTTTTGATAGCCATTACCTCCACTCATCAAGCCAGTGAACTCACTGCTCTTTGAATTGACCCTCTCTTTATCACCTTTCTTAAGGACAATGTCATACTCTGCCTTTCTACCTAAGGTTGTCTTTTCCTTCCACATGAATAGGAACTATTGTTCTACATGCATTCTTTCAAAACCCATCCAACTCCATAGAGGTCATTCTCCATTCTCTCCATTCTCTCCATGTCTGCAGAGCGTTAGGTTTCTACAAATCCAGAACTCAATCCATCTGACAGTCTCAGAGACTTTTTATTGTGCATGGTGGCCCACACCAGGGAACACCTATTTCCCCGCAATGGCTTTCTAAATGAATAGTCCACACTATATCTCTGGCCTATGAACTCTCCATCTGTCTGGCTCTATTAGAGCACATTCTACCAAAACTACTTCAACATCCACAGCCTTGTATGCCAGAGTGTCTCTTACTGACCTCTGTAGAGAGATGACATGGTCAAATCACTGGACCTTCATTCTCCATTATCATCTCAATGTTTGAGCTACAGAAGACTGCACATTGGGCAGAGCTGTCCTCTCTACTCCACTGAGCGATGCCACCCTCCTCCACGAAGTAAGCTTGAAAGTTGCCCATGTGTGTGATGCACAAAGACCACAAAGAATAAAGGCAGGTTTCCTTATCTGCAACTGTCATTCACTGAGTGACCATCTGTGCATTCACACATACTCACCTGCCATCCCTGGCCTGGGTTTGAGATAGAGACAGCCTTGGTTGCCCTGTGGGATTACCTTTGCCAGGAAAAAGATGGGGAGCATGACCCTGTTCTATTGGACTTCTTGGTGGCTTTCAACACCATCAACCATGGTGCCTGTCATGCCCTACCTGGAGGAGGATTCCTGAGACAAGGAGAGCAGGGAAAGTGGGCCAGAGTCACAGCCAAACACAGAAGCTATGGAAGAGCGGCCAGATCCCTTGTGGCAGTCCCAGGGTTACTCAGAAACCAGAGGCAGAAGGAATTCACCCTTTGGAGAGAAGGAGAAGTGCAGAGCTTTGCCAGAGCCTGTGTTTCATGAAAACACATGCTGACTTAATTAGTCTCCTGTGCTGCTTCCCAACTGCTATGAAATTAGATCAGACCAAGCCTGCTTTTGTGGCAAACAACAAACACTGCTAACTGCAGTCATTGCTTTCTTGAAGACTAATCAGTATCTAGATGTATTGTCTTGTTTCCGACATTCTTTGTACACTCCCACCTGACTTTGGACACACCACACCTCATGACCCTGACTCTTGAGTCTCAAGTGGACTTGGTGGCCAGGAGCACCTTCCTTCAGCTGAGGCTAATTTACCAACTACGGCCATAGCTCAAACAACAAAGCTTAGCCACAGTTATGCACACTCTGGTAACATCCCAGTTGTACTCTTGCAATATGCTCTACGTGGGGCTGCCCTTGAAGACAGCCTGGAAACTTGGATTGGTTCAAAATAGATCCGTGCAACTGTTAACAAGAACTAATTCATGGGGCCCATATCAAACTAGTTTTATATCATCTACAATGTCTACCAGTGGAAGCCCAGGCCCGTCCCTACCCATGTGTTAAGATGAAGTGAGGAGGTCCTTCTTAAGGAGCCATCCTCCAGAGAAGTGTGGGGGATGATAGCTAGAAGGGAGGCCTTCTTGGTGGTTGTCCCCCACCCCTGGATCAGGCACCCCAGAGAGATGTACATGGTACCATTGCTATTGTCATTCTGGAGGTAGGTGAAGACATAGTTCTTCTCCAGCTATTTTAATAGTTGATTTTCATGGTAACTTGATTTTAATTGACCCTATTTCTGATTTTAGTTGATATTAGTTTAAATTGTTTTATTCTAATGTTTTATGTAATATTTTAATTTTGATGTATTATGTTTCTCCTTTTTTATTTTGTTGTTAAAATGTTTTGAATACATATGTTGATTTAGTGTCACTAATTTTAGAATGTTCTGCAGTTTTAACTGTTGTAAGCTGCACAAATAGCCCAGGTATGGGCTATTGTAGCAGCATACAAATTAAAATAATAAATAAATAAATGGCTTCCTAATTAAGTGTCCCCTATGACAGAAGTATTGAAGACAGACCTGGAGTTTGAAACATACTGTTTCTGTTTTTTCTCTGCCTGAATTCTAAATATGCCAATAGGACAAGCCACTCCTCTGCTCTGTCACAATCCCCACCTAGTAAGCAGGAAAAAAAACTCTTCAGAATAACTTTGGCATCTCTCTGAGGAGAGTGGTATGCAGGGGATCCCAGTCTCTGCATTTCTTCTTGCAAGAATCATGGAGCAGAGGATGGTGAGGGTTTTTCCGAAGACCCTAGAAAATCACTAAAACAGTGGACACTACTGGCTAGATAATCTGAGCTCATATAAGGCAGTTTCCTGTGTAGGATTGTTGGTTATGCACTTGTTATCACAACAAGGATTATCCAGCCTTGTCAGAAGCTGTCCTAAGAGAACTTTTAAAAAGTTCAGGTAAATCAGCTGCCTCCATCACCAATCAGAAGCCAAATGGTAGCTGAGGATGGATCATAGAATCATAGAATAGTAGAGTTGGAAGGGGCCAGAAGACCTTCAGGTCCACCCCCCTGCTGTTCCAAGACACTAAGTTACACCATCCCATTCAGATGACTGTCCAGACACTTTTTTGAATGTGTCCAGTGAGGAAGAGCCCACAACTTTCCCAGGTAATAGGTTTCATTTTCATACTGACTGAATAGTGAGGAAATTCTTCCTGGTGCTGGTCTAAGTCTGGTTTCTTTTGAGTCCATTATTCCATGTTCTGCACTCTGGAATGAACAAGAAGAGATCTTGTCCTACTTTATGACAGTAGAGTGCTATCATATCTCCCCTCAGTATTATCTTCTTGAGGTGGAACATGTCTAGTTCTCTCAATCTTTCCTCATAAGGCTTTACCTCCAGTCCCTGAATCATCTTTGTTGTTCTCCTCTGTATCCTTACTAGTTTTTCTGCATCTTCTTAAAACTTAGGTTCTCAGAACTGGACACAGTACTCCAGTTGAGGCCTGACTAGTGTTTAGTGGAACTAGTACTTCATGGGTTTTAGAAGTGAATGCAGTCCAAAATAGCATTTGCCCTTTTTGCAGCTACATCACTTTCTTGGTTCATATTTAGCTTGTGATTAACACCAAGATCCTTTTCCTTTGTAGTAGTGTCAAGCCACATATTTCCCTTCTTGTAGCAGTGCATTTGGTTTTTTGTTCCTCAGTAGAGGACTTGGCATTTGTCCCTACTGAATTTTATTTCGTTGCTCTCTGCTCAGTATTCTTATCTATTGTGATCATCCTGTATCTTATCTCTGTCTTCTAGGGTCTTTGCTGTTCCTCCCAGCTTTGTGTCATCTGCAAATTTAATTCTCTTTCCTTGTACTTCCTTATCTAAATCATTAATTAAAATGTTGGAGAGTACCAGTCCCTGCAGCACCCCACTTGACACCTATCCCCACAGTCTGAGAATGTGCTTGAGTCTGATTTTGCAGCTAATAGTGAATCCCCCTAATATTTGCACTATCTAGTCCCCTTTTTGCTAGTTTGGGAATCAAGATGTCATGAGGCACTTTGTTGAAGGTTTTGCTAAAGTCTAGATAGATTTTTGTCTGCAACATTCCCCCAATCAAGTTACCCAGTCAAAAAATGAAATTAGAATTGTCTGGCAGGATTTGTTCTTAAGAAATCAATGTTGATTTCTAGTAATCACTGCATTGTCTTCAAGGTGTTTGCAGACTGTTTTATAATCTGCTCCAGAATTTTCCCAGGAATTGATGTCAGACTAACTGGTCTGTATTTCCCAGGTTCATTTTTTCTCTCTTTCCTGTAGATCAGGACAACATTAGTTCTTCTCCAGTCATCTGGCACTTCTCCTGTCTTCCATGAATTCTTAAAGATGATAGATAGTGGTCCTGAGAGTTCTTCCACTAAATCTTTCAAATGTTGACACAGAAACAGCACAGGAGGCAGGAGCTGCTCTCCTTCCCCATTTTTATCCTTTCAGTGTAGCATTAGAATAAGGAATTTGTGAATTACCTTTGTGGGGAGATGCAGAAGTTGTGCTTTCTTTTGAAACGTGTAGGAAAGAGTCTCGCTTTCAATTTTTTGCAAAATGTGAGAAAAGAGATGTTGGCCAATGCTATGAATCTGCCTGGACTTTTCAGATTCAAAGCAAAGCACTGGGGAGAAAAGAATCCTGTAATATTAGAAAAGAGTAGTACGACTATTAAAGATTGAAAGATCTCCTAATCCAATTTTAAGGAAAATAAGGGTAGGTGGAGAGAGTTATAGGAACAAGCTACTTTATAGTATCTATAAATGTGTTGAATTTTCCAAAACACTGTTTGATGCTTTGAGATTACAGAGAACTGTGCTTTGTGTTTTAGCTCATTATTTTAGCCAGCCAGTATTTTCTTCAATTACTTTTTCAAAATATATATAATCTTTTCCTCTCCACTCCCCCAACTCCCTATGTGCTTTCCTTTAACAGACACTTTGTGCAAAGGCTACAATGCAAACCATCCGGGCTGCTGACACTAATGAAGTAGTCAAGCTAATATTCCGTGAATCAGATAATGATCGAAAGGTAATGTAACCAAATACAATCCTTGTTACTGAAGAGAATGCTGTTGTAACTGGACATCCCCCCTCTCAGTCTTCTAAAGTCCAAGGAACTAAACTAAACTTGCTGACTTTAGTGTAATGATACTTATGAAAAAATGTAATCCAGAATATGTACTACAAAAATGCTCATTTACCTGTGAGTTCAGTGAGCTCTGTGAGATCCTCATTCACAAAGAGGCTGTAACTGAATTTACCTAGTAGTCCTTCAATCTCAGACTAATACACTGATAACTGTTGCCACAGCAATAATTATGCAAGAAGTTTTACAGTTATCCCTTTGAGTATGTGAAACAGCTTGCGGTATAACAAGTGGCAAAGCCCTCACAAATTTAAAGGAAAGAGCTTCAGGTATGCAAGGGAACTGCCCTAAACCCAAGCAATCAAATGACTCAGTGTAAAAATCTTGTGTGGAAATTTTGCACAGGAGACATTCAGTAGCCTTTTTCTGCACTTTCAGCTAAATGTCATGAACAGGTTTCTTCCTTGCTCCAGCAGACTCCAATGAAACTTTAGAAGTACGGTGCTTTTATTAAAGCTTAACAGGTTACAAAACAATATAAATAAAAGTAGCATTCTGTTTGAAATGTGAGCAAAGTATCTGCCTGTGTAAAGAGCTAAATCCAAACTGAGACTTCCTCACCTCTCCCTCTAAAATGGTTGTGACTTCATTTTCAAGGGAGCTTCTGCTGTCTGAAAGCTAGATGGCAGAAATGCTAGACATGTCTTAATTGGTCCACTCATTTCTTCAGTTGTTTCTGGACCAAGTTAAGGAACTCCCTCTTAATCTGCTCCCCTGGAGCTTTGAAATGTCTCCCTCCTTTCTTCGTTGTGGCCTCTGTGCATCACACATATGGGTGCTGCGCCTGCGCAGTGCCTTTGGCCAGAAGATTGAAAGCTAATGGTTTTTGGCGGGAAGCTCCGCTCCCCCTCCCCCCTATAGCCTATAAAGAGCGGAGCATCCACCATTTTGTTCAGTCTTTGCAACTGCCGTTCATTGTGCCTCGTGCCGCTTTCGCTCTCGCTCTGACCGTTACTCGTTCTCACTGTTTCCAATTGTTCTTCTCCGAGTTTAGTAGTTATAGTTCTTGTTCCTGGTTATTATCACTTACTAGTGGTTTTCTTGTTTTCTCTCGTTCTCACTCTTTTACTATTGTCTTAAAAAAAAAAAAAACCAAAAATATATTCTTACCCTCTACACTGTCTTCTCTTTTTCTTTTCTCACGATGGTGCAATGAGCAACTTTCCGCAAGTGCGTGAAATGCGGGTCTAAAATGTCTCCTGCACACCTGCATGACCTATGCCTCCTCTGCTTGGGGGAAGGGCATAGGATGGATAAGTGTTCCCACTGCCTGGCCTTCTCTAAGCAGGCCAGGAAAAATTGTGAGAACCGCTTACGGAGGCTCTTGTGGGATTGGGCTGTCCTCCAGTCTGACCCACTGGTGACTGCTCTGAAGCCTGGCTCCTCTGCTGTGATCCCGCCCTCACGCCCTTCGGACGAAGGTGCGTCTACCATGGGCGCTCGGCCTGCTTCTCCTAAGAAGCATGAGAAGCGGAAACACACCGATACCAACAAACCGGCCAACCACAAGTAAGCCAGGAAGGAGAAGGCTCCGAAACCGTCTAAGAAATCCAAGGACTCGGAGCATCCTAGGCACCGAGATTCGGGCTCGACTGCCCCTTCGGTACCGACGACTGTCACCGTACCAACCCCACCTGACCCGGTGCTTCAGGTGGCTATGAGGGTTACCCCTCAGGGGTCCCCTCGCCACATGGCTGAACTTCCCACGGAGTCTCTCCCTGTTTCGCCAAGAGAGTCAATTTCTGACGGGGAGACCCAGGATTCTCTGCCTAGGGCTAGGCCCCCCACACCTATGCCCCCGGTCACATTGGAGGCGGATGTGCAAATGTCCCCGCCTAGGAGCTGCAGGAGTCACTCCTTGAAATGATGATCGGAGGGATGGTACCGATCCTACTACCATGCATGGGGAGATCCACGTTCTGTTGGACACTATCCTGCTCCACGAGGTCATTCTTCACCATCCTCTCGTGACTGTACGCTGTCTTCGGCCCCGAGGCGTGCATCCCCAGTACCACCTAGGGAGCAGAGTAGTCGGTCCTTCTCTCCGGCAGAGTCCTCATCATCAGCTCCTCCATACTACGGGGTAGAATCTGATGATTCTGAGGTCGATTCCACCTCCCCAGATGCCGCCGTGACCTCTCAGGGACCCGCATCACCCGACGAATCCAATATCTCCTTCGTGGAGTTGATGTCACGCCTTGTCCGGTCCCTCGAGATTGACGTCGTACAGCGACCGGGACCCAGTACAGACAAGTTCTATGACATCATCCGCGGGGAACAATCTACATCTGTTGTGCTGCCGCTGATTACCACCTTGCGACAGGCCATGATGCAACCATGGGACCTGCCCACCCACCCCCAGCCGATTTCACGGAGGTATGAATCCATGTACCAGGTTCAGGAGGAAGACATACCCTTCCTCCTCTGCCACCCCAACCAAACTCAGTCATGGTTGAGTCCTCCCAGGGCAGAGAGACGAGAGGGCACACCGCCCCGAGAGACAAAGAGCGAAGGAAGATCAATTCCCTGGCCAGGCGAGTGTATGCTGCCTCTGGCCTAGGGCTGAGAATTTCCAACTACGAGGCAACGCTAGCAAGGTACCAATACTTCATTATGCAGCACCTCCACAACATCGTCTCAGCCCTTCCAGACAACCAAGGTGACCTAGCTAAGGTCTTCATAAAGGAGGCAATGCAAGTTGCCATCCAACAGTTGTCTACTGCTCGACATCATGTGGGCTCGGACTCAAGGGCCTTGGTCGGTACCGTCTCCCTCCGGAGGCATGCCTGGTTATGCAACTGTAACTTTCCGGAGGAGACGAAGAGGCGGATAGAGGAAATGCCTTTTGAAAGGTCCGGGCTTTTCCACTCAAGAACTGACCATAAGCTCAAGAAAATACATGAGTCCCATATGACAGCCCAGCGAATGGAACTCCAGCCTCAGACCAGACGTAAGTGGTCATGGACCCGTCCTTCCTACAGGCAGTCGTACCAGCCCAGACAGCAGCCCCAACACCGGCAGCAGCAACAGCAACGCCACCGTCAACAGCCTCCACAACGGTACCAGCAAGGCCATTGTCATTTTGACGGAGATAGGAGGCAGTGTTGACAGGACGGGTGAACCACTCCTCTAATTCCTACCATTCCCACCCCTCTCTCATCTGGGGACCGGCTGAGAAGCCGACTCCCCATTTGGGAGTCCATCACATCTGATCGGTGGGTCCATCATTTGGGAGTCCATCACATCTGATCGGTGGGTATTGTCCATCATACAGCACAGCTATTGGATAGAATTAGACATTGTTCCTCCATCGAGTCCGATCCGGTTTACCTCATGCTCGTCAGTATTGCTCGATGAGGTCCAACAACTTCTTTGTAAAGGAGTGATTCGTCAAGTGACTCCGGCTGACGGACTTCACGGATTCTATTCCAGATATTTTACAGTCCCGAAGTGGGATGGTGGTCTGCATCCTATCTTGGACTTACGCAATCTTAATTGGTTTATCACAACAAAAAAGTTCCAAATGACCACCCTTCAAAATATTCTACCATTGCTGAGGAAAGAGGATTGGTTCACCTCATTGGACTTGAAGGACACTTATTTCCATATTTCCATTTACCCATGTCATAGGCGCTTCCTTCGTTTTGCTGTTGTATCCCAACTATTCGAATTCACAGTTTTGCCTTTCAGACTGGCTACTGCTCCGAGAGTGTTCACCAAATGTATGGCTCCTGTCTGCGCTTTTCTACGGCTCCAGGGGGTACCAATTTACCCTTACCTTGATGACTGGTTGCTGGTGCCACAATCCAAGGAGGGACTTCTTGCGTCCATACGTACGACCTGTGCCCTATTAGATGATCTGGGACTATGCATTAATACCGAGAAATCTTCTCTTCAGACGATCACTTTCATCGCAGCCCGTTTGGATTCTACGATGGTGAAAGCCTTCATTCCTCGGGACAGACAACAGACTCTTGCTTGCCACATCCATCGAATGAGATGAGACATGACGGTTCTGGCACGGTCCATCCAGAGACTTCTGGGCCATATGGCTGCATCAGTTGCTGTGGTCCCACACACCAGACTTCACCTTTGTCCTCTGCAACTTCTGTTAAACAGAATGTTCCGACCACAAAGAGATCTGCCAACAAAGATGATTCAGATTCCATCTTCTGTGCTCCATTCTCTGCTCTGGTGGTCGGTTCCAGCCAACCTAACCATGGGGGTTCCATTCAGACCGCGATGCCCTTTGGTAACCCTCGGTACCGATGCATCCCTACTAGGATGGGGAGCACTATGCTCCAACCTGTGCACTCAGGGCACATGGAATCATCAAGAATCCAGGAGTCATATCAACTTCTTGGAGCTCCTGGCTGTATTCAAGGCCCTGTGTTCCTTCGAAGATGTTCTCCGACATCGGGTCGTTCAGATAACCTTGGACAACATAGCTACTGTTTTTTATCCGAACAAGCAAGGTGGAACAAAGTCACCGACTCTGACCAGACTCTCAATGAAAATCTGGGAATGGTGCATCCTGAGGGACATTACTTTGATGGCAGTTCATCTCGCTGGTATGGCAATGTGGAAGCGGATCTTCTGAGCAGACGTATGCTCATATCTCACAAATGGGAACTAGATCCCCGAACATGCGACCATCTCTCCCATCGCTGGGGTTTTCCTGACGTAGACTTATTCGCCACCCATCAGAACAAGGTGTACGACACTTCCTGTTCGAGAGTGGGAATCGGGCACAGATCCCTAGGGGACGCCTTCATGATCCCTTGGAGCGACCCGAATTTGTATGCCTGTCCACCGATTCCACTCATTATGAGAGTGATAGCGAAGATAATACACGATCGGGCAACAGGGTTATTGATTACCAC